CAACAGCCTAATTAATCCTCATTTTATTACTTTCGCTTGTCAAGTGGCTAAAGAGAAGCTGTCAGCCCGGTGAGCCGCCCCACTCGCGTTTGTTGAGCTCCCAAATTACTTCATCAGAACCATCTGCTGCAAACATCTTGACCAGGCCTCTCTATTTCTCTATTCAAACGTCTCTCCCACTCTTTCTTTCTTTCTTTCTTTCTCTCTCTCTCTCTTTCTGTGCTGGGGAGTGAAGGCTCTGAAAGGCAGCTTTAGGGTCATGGATCCCGGAGATGTTGGAGTGTGTGTGCCTGGGTTTCTTAAAGTATAAATATTCAATGGCAAGAAGGGCTGTCAAATTGGTTGGCCATGCAGCCACAGGTGGAGCCAGCCTGCTAACAGTCCAGAGAGGCAGAGCTGAACTCTCCAGCCACATCACTTGCCAAAACAGAAGGGCTTTCCCCTATGGTTTGACTCAGAAACCAAAAGCCAAAGTCTCCAAGGTTGCATTTTGTGCCCAATCCCACAGTGAGTGATGCCTAGTTTATCCAGGTGGACATTTGAAACTACATCGCCATCCCTGTTTTGTTTTTTTTCCAAGGCAAGTTGATACTGCTTCTCAATTTTGTGAAAGAAGAAAAGTAGGAAGGGAAAAATGAATGAAGGAGAGAGGGAAGGAAGGAAGGAAACCCATTTACAAAGGGCATCATGCTTATTGTGACTTTACACAGTCACCATAAGCATGATGCCCTTTGTAAATGGGTTTCCTTCCTTCCCTCCCTCCCTCCCTAATTCAATGAAAAATAGACTTTCCAGAGTGAAAAACTGGAAAGGAATCCAGATCTCTAATAATTGGGCAGACATTTCAATAGATTTTGCTTGTTACTAGATGTGTATTTTACCTGTGTGTATTCCCACATTATCTGTTTGGAACTGGAATATATAGCAGTGTGGACTCAGATAACCCAGTTCAAAGCAGATATGGGATTTTTCTGCACTGATATCCTGGGTTATATGGCTGTGTGGAAGGGCCCTGATTCTTCATGTTGCCTGTCAATTTATGATGACCCCATGAATTTACTAGGGGTTTTTTTAGGCAAGTAATTCTCAGAAGTGGTTTTGCCAGTTCCTTCTTCTGAATTAGCTTAGCTTCCAAGATCAAATGGGATCTGATGCCTTTACAGTATTTAGACCCACTGTCTTACATAACACTGAAAGCATAGGAGACCTTCTCAATTTTCAATTTGTCAATGCTAAGAGCCAGTGTGGGATATTTTTTTTGTTTGGTTTTGATTTTTTGGTCAGGAATGACTTGAGAAATTGCAAATCGCTTTTTGTGTGAGATAATTGGCTATTTGCAAGGATGTTGCCCAGGGGACTCCTAAATGTCTTGATGTTTTACCATCCTTGTGGGAGGCTTCTCTCATGTCCCAACATGGGGAGCTGGAGCTGACAGAGGGAGTTCATCCACACTCTCCTAGATTCAAACCTCCGACCTGTCAGTCATCAGTCCTTCCAGCACAAAGGCCGGGGTTTAGCACAGCTAATAAATCACCAGCAATTGTAAGATGTATAGACCAAAAGGTTGCCAGTTCGAAGCCCCGGGTCAGTGTGAGCTACCAGCTGTCAGCCCAGCTTACTGTTGCTCTAAGCAGTTCGAAAACAGCTTTAGTTGTAATTAGAGAAATTAGGTACTGGTAAAAGTGGGTGAGATATTTTACGACGCCATAAAGAAAGATCAGAAAATGCTGGGTGACCAAAAGGAAGGAGAATGTCCTGATGGCTCTTTGTCAAAGATGATGGAATGACAGCACACCCTGTGACGGTATTCAAGCCCAACCTTCCATGGCAACAAAAAGCTGGGCATTGAGTTGAAACAACACACCTCCTTCTGTTCTATCTATCTCTGTATTATCTACACAAAGCGGCATTGAATGTTTGCCGTGTATGTGTACTGTGATCCGCCCTGAGTCCCCTTCAGGGGTTGTTGTTGTTGTTGTTGTTGTTGTTGTTGTTGTTGTTAACCTACTGGCTCCTAGCCAGTGTGGTGTAGTGATTTGACTGTTGGACTAGATTTCGAATATGCTCTGCCATGAAATCACACTCATTCTCAGAGCAAAGCAGTGGCAAACGTCTTCTGAACAAATCATGCCAAGAAAACCCTGTGAAGGGGTTGCTGTTGGTTTTGTTAGTGATCAGTCCTGTTTTGAAGAAACTATTGATGAATTCCCCTTTCTGCTGGGAAATTTGTTGAAATTGCCCTCAACTCAAACTCTATTGCTGGGCATAGCTACAGTAGAAATTTTTGAGAAGCCATTTATCTCCATCACAATTTTGCTGCCTTAAACTTGTGAACTGCTTTGTCTTTTGAAAACTAATGGGCTATACATAATCAGTAAACAGAAAATCACTTTATTTCTTTAGTAGGAAATGTAGCCAACCTGCTTAATTTCTGCCCTGTTACTCTGTTCTTGATCTACTTTTCTCTTCACATTTACTATAGAAAGGGGTGATCCATTCGCGTACACTAGTCCTGCTAACATTTTTTTAGCAGTCCATGGAGAGGGTTTCTGTTTCACTACTCACACCATCACAAAGAAAGAACTCTTCAAAACACAGTAAAGAAACACATCTATTTATTGCACTTCTAAAATTCTCACTAAGCAAGTACTTTGGATGGTGCTCGGTATATTAAAAATATAAAATATAGCAATAAACCTATTGGGAGAGACAGCAGAATATAAAACCAAGATTAAAAAGCAACAAATAAGATAAACATTACAGCATATAAAACCAAATTAAAACTATAACCAAATTAAATTCCCTTTGTGGAAAGCTTTGATCATTCTTCCCCAGCAACGTTTCTTTACTAATTTTATCCTTTCCTCATCTTTCCCATTTCTCAGTGTTTGGTAGTTTTAGGGTTTTTTAAAAAAACGAAAAAACAAAAAACACAACCATTACTTAAACATGCCATGCACAAAAAAGGCTTTCATTGTATTGCTTCTACTAATGTGCCTGTTGAGTTAATAAGTTCAAATTTGGTATGTAGCAGTAATGAAAGTTTTGGATTGAGAATGCCTGGGTTCAAACCAATTGCTTGTGTGCCTTCAAAATATTTCCAACTTGTGGTGATCTAAGATGAACTTATCAGAAGGTTTTCTTGACAAGATTCACTCAAAAGAGGTTTGCCTTCCAATGAGGATGCATCTACACTGTCCGTTTAATGCAGTTTGACACCCATTTAGCTCCCATGCTTCAGTGTTATGGACTCATGGGGGCTGTCGTTTGTGGAGGCACCAGTACTCTTTGGCAGAGAAGACAAAATATTTTGTCAAACTGCAGCTCCCACAATTCAGTAGCCTTCAGTCATGGCCATTAAAATGCTGTCAAATTTCAGTGTATGTTCATCCTTAGTCTCCCAGCAGATATTACTATGATTGAAATCCTGCATAGCAACCAGTTCTTGCATCTTTGAGATTTCTGATATGTATTTCTGAAAAGCATCATCCATCACCACAGCTTGATGGATGATGCTTTTCAGAAATGCGTATTGGAAATCTCAAAGATGCAAGAACTGGTTGCTATGCTGTTGTAAACCCTTACCACATTGTTGTTTTTATTTGTTTGTTTCAATTATAATGTTCCACATTTTCTCAACCAACCCAGTTTGATCCCTCATAGGGATTTCTGTACAAGTAAATTTGTCTTTGACGTATAATCCTGCTCCTTTTCTTTCTTGTCTATTCTTTTTGAACAAATTAGATATCCCCCAGCGGTTATATTCCAATCATAGGAATAATCCCAACAAGTTTCTGCCATACTTATAAAGTCATATTTACCACCCTGCATTAGGACTTCAAGCTCATCTTGTTTGTTTCCACAGCTCTGTGCACTGGTACATAAACATACCAAGCTTTGTTTTTGTACATCTTTTATTTTATTGCAAGTTTTACTATGACTCCCATCCTCTCATATCTGGGTTTCACACACAGAAAGCAAGTGACAAGACAGTGTTCTCTCTGGCATTTGCCCTCAAAAGGAACTTGATGGCTACCAGATGGCAAAACAATAAAACAATAAGGAGCAATAGAGAGAAAAATGAGCATTCGGTCACAGAAAATGTAATCAGAACCAAAGTAATAACCAGGACAAGGAGGAGGATGCAGGAAGAGAAGAACAGCAGAAGAAAGGGAGTAGCAGAAAAAAGATGGGGAAAGTTAACAGTAGAACATTAGTTTAAAATAGAAAGAGGGAACCATTGTAAGGAAACATGTAAAAAGAGGATCATCAAGTATGCTGTTATAACACTGAGGGGAATGATCCTAGTGGCAGTCATATATCTTTGTTAGTATACACAGAGCTAGCATCCTGTTGGCGAATTGTAAGTAGAGTAGATCCATTCCATCAATTGTTGAATGGTGAGACAACACATAGATACATTTCAGGGCATGCATATATTTACGCAGGGCTAAAAGAGAATTTAGGTCCTAGTCTAACTAGAGTTTATGTATTCTTGTACTAACTTCCTGCCCTTCTGGAGAACATGTTCCCTCACATACACCTCACAAGATCCCCATTTTCTTTTCTGTCTTAAGAAGAGGTAAATTATATTTCCAGATTGTAACAGGCACACACAACTGCAATGCCTTTCCAGGTACTGAAATCTCAAGAACATTTCAAGCAATGAAATCAAAACAATAGTTTGTGTGTAAATAAGCTCCACAACATTTCATCAAGATTTTCTTATAGATAATACATTAGATTCTGTCTGATTATGAAAGATAAACAGGGTCACTCACTCCTGGTTAGTTCTTGGATGGAAGGTTGCCAACAAATACCAGCTGCTGTAGGCTGTATTTCATAGGAGGAAACTGGCAAAACCACCTCTGCATATCCCTTGCCTTAAAAAAAACTGTGAAATTCATATGCTCATCATAAGTTGCCACGTGAATATAAATTAATGCAAACTTGAGTTATCTGACATGAACCCCATCCTCCACGCCTTTTTATTTTCCCAGGCTCTTCCAGACCAAATGCAGTGGTTGTCTCAAGGCTGTGGCTCCATCTGAGTTCATCATGAGAGTGCTGGAGAACGTTTACCACGTCCACTGCTTCTCTTGCTGCGAGTGTGAACGACGGCTCCAACGTGGCGATGAGTTTGTGCTGAAGGAAGGACAGCTCCTATGTCGCAGTGACTATGAGAAGGAAAGGGAAATGCTGAGTGCCATCAGCCCAGCTCCCACTGAGTCAGGTGAGAAGGAAATGGCTGCATGGAAGCGCACTATGTAGGCAGTGGAAGTGGGTGATGTCTGTGTCCATCTATAACAACAAGCAAGTGGGTTATTGTAATTTAGCAACTTGACATTATACATGGTTGAAACTCAATAAATAGTTCATTGCAGATATAAAACTATTCCATGTACTATCAGGTATTGCATAGTTTTGTGTACAGACACAATCACAAAGCACTGCCAAGAAATTTTAATATTTTAAAATATACAGTCAACCCTAATTAATATAGAATGGGAGACAGTTAGAGACCACCAGGTGCTGGGTGATATAAGGAATTGTCAAAAACAACTTTGACTACTTCCTTGCCTAACAAAACCCTATGAAATTCATGGGGTCACTATCACTGGAAGACACATACACACATGTACAACAGATGCATGCACCTAATGAAACAGACTTAACACTATGAAAACTTAAGTTACTAATCTCTTTCTCTCAATTAGTCTTTGTCTTAGTCATGTAGCAGAAGCCAGCAGATCCCATCCTTCTATATCTGTTATGCCTGTTGCTTCTTTAATACTTTAAATGCTGTCTCTTCACTGGAGAAGGTCCTTGATGCTGACTCCAAGGGCCCATCCAGACAGGCACAAAAACCAGGACCTGTCTCGGTTTTTACCAGAGGCATCCAAACACTGCCTCCAGTAAAAACAAATTAATTCAGAACAAGACTATGTTCCCCTGGTTTGTTCTGAATTAATTTGATACCCCATTAGATCTGGGCCTTCCTGAAATGCCTGGGTCTAATGGGGCATTGGGCCTGTGGAGACTCCAGGTCTCAGGACTACCCGGGGGTGAGTTTCCATTGCCATCACACACCTTTGGGGCTCCTGGAACCCAAAGGTGTGTGATGACACCCATCCCCTCCCTCCAAGTCCCCAATTTTCCCTAAATGTTAAGTAAAAGGTACCTGGCCACCATAACATTCCTCCTCGCATCCTCCTGATGCAAGGAAATATTGCATGAGGAGACAGAGGGTCCTCCTGTCTCTCAGGCATCATTTCCTTATTCCAGCAGGATGTGAGAAGGGAAGTTATGGTGGCCAAGTACCTTTTACTTAATGTTTAGGGGGAAATTGGGGGCTTCATGGTGGCTGCATGCCATCCCAATTTTAATTGGAATGGCATGTAGCCAAACACACACGCCCTGGGAAGGCCTGGGTTTTGGGGTGGGGGGAGGGGGGAGTGGGAACTCAAACCCAGGTCAAAGTGGGTTACTTATACCTGCTCCGGCATGGATTTTAGTCCTGTCTGGAAGTGCCCCAAATTGCTAATTTTAAACACAAAACCAATGCTTGCAAGTTTTCTGCTTTCAGCAAATGGGGACATAATGCAAGACAAGATGAAGTCTTCCTTGCCTTGTTCTTCTCCCCTTTTTGCTTCTGCTAGTGCCAGAGAGCAGGATGTCACTTTAATTCCTGAGCATTAAAATGTTTATTACAATTAATATTAATTTTAATAAAGGGAAACGATACAGCCTTGTAGCAGCAGTTGGGCAAACATGGCCCTACAAATGTTCTGTGGGACTACAACTTCCACTAGCTCTAGTCACTATAGCCACTGTTAAGGGATGCTAACAACTGGTGTTAATCTGTCATCCACCAGAGCACAGCTGCTCATCCCTGATGTAATAGGATCTATCATGCAAGCAACAGTAAAAATTGCATGGCCTCTAGGTGTTGTTGGACAGAAACTTCCATTTTTACTCACATTGGGCAATGGGCATGTTAGCTGGGTTTGCTGAGAGCTGCACAACAACAGACTCTTAATGGCTGCATGATTCCCCCTCCTGAGCCAAGGAAGGTGGTTTTGAGCTTCCCTTGAGGAAGTGAACTTTGAAAAGAACAAATATCTTTTGAAAACCTATATCTTCTATACCATATTTTCTGGTGCAATCACCTGTTGGGTACAGGCTAAGCATCCCTTATCTAGAATTCTGAAATCCAAAATACTCGGGAGTTTTCCACATGTAGAGCTGAGTGACACCTTTCTATTTTGGTGGTTCAATGTACTCAAACTTTGCTTCATGCACCAAATGATTTTAAAATATTGTATATAAAATTACCTCCAGGTTATGTGTATAAGGTTTATAAGAAATATAAATTAACGTTGTGTTTAGATTTGGGGCCCATCCTCAAATTATCTCACAAGTCTTCCAAAATATAAAATCCAAAACCTTTTTGATCCCAAGTATTTCAGATAAGGGATACTTACTCTGCCTTAGTTTCTTTAATAACACAGTTTTCCTTCATAGTGAAGAGTGAAGATGAGGATGGCAACCACCCGCATGGCAAAACGGGTGAGGAAGGGAAAGACCACAAGCGGTCCAAGCGCCCCCGAACCATCCTCACCACCCAACAGCGGCGAGCTTTCAAGGCCTCCTTTGAAGTCTCCTCCAAGCCCTGCCGGAAGGTTGAGTATCATTTGCTTCTTCCCACTCTCTCATAGCAAACACCCAACCCAACCCTGATATTTAATATAACTTATTTGGTCAGTTAGAACATCTATTATCCTCCTTACAAAAAGTCTCCCAGAGCAGCAGACAAGGGTTACAATTTAAATTTCAGGGCTATCACATGATACGTTTGTCCCATGATTGCACTGACTTAGCTTAATGTTTCATCTTTCCTTATCACACCATGTCATAATTCTCTCCGTTGTTGTATTGTATTGTATTTCCATCACATCCTTTCATTGAAAGGAGAAGCCCATTGCTGGCTCCAATATCACTGCAGTTCAACTGTTGTGTCTCATGACATCATTTCATTCCACTGCAGTTCCTATATTCCAGTACTCATCTGGTGTGAATGGGTACAGTTCTCCTCTTCTCCCCCTCCCTCTCCACAAGCAAGGGGAGTCATGTTGCTTGTACACTAATATCTGGATTATATTATATTTGATTATTTGTTTTTCCAAAATTGAACAGAGTGACATGAAGGCTCAGCAACACCTGTACAGGATTTATTTGCTTCAGAATAACCAGTCCTTTTCTCCCCAATGGGCAGGTGAGAGAGACGTTAGCAGCTGAAACTGGCTTGACTGTTCGGGTTGTACAAGTTTGGTTCCAGAACCAAAGGGCCAAGGTGAGTGACAGCTTCTAAAGCCTTGAACAAAACATCTCTGAGAAACAGAGATGGGAGTCAGATTCAACTCTGGATGCCAGAGTTTTGGCCCAACCAGGTCTTCTGACTTGAACTTAATGGTCCATCAAAAACACCATTTTATTATCAATGTTTGTTGCCTCTGCCAGCTAAAATCATGTTTTTTGGGGCCCACATATCTCTCTGAGTCCCACTTGGGACTCCCTCCACAACAAATCTAAGCCCCACCTAAGATATTTTAACACCCAAAATTGGAAAGGATTTTTCATTTGTCTCACTAAGGGCCCTTCCACATACTGTAGCCATATAACCCAGAATATCAAGGCAGGAAATACCACAATATCTGCTTTGAACTGGAATATATAGCAGTTAAAAGGAGATGCTGTGGGATTTCCTGCCTTGATATTCTAGTTTATATGGCTATGTGGAAGAGCCCTATTTCTGTACTACAGCCAGGTCTCAAACCAGATGGAGATGGTAGATAATCAATTTCAACCAGGAACCCTGGAACTGGTAAGCCACCACACTCTCTAGAACCCACTTTTGTAAACCTTTTCAAAGTGAAAAGGAGTTTGTTTAACAAGGAATGAATGCCACAGCTCGCACTCTGATGTTTGTCCATCTCTTTCCTTAAAGGCACAGGAACGGTCCACAAATAAATAATAATAATACTTGCTTAGAATCTATGGTTTTGAAGCAGTTTCTCAATGAGCGCAGTATAAGATTGAGCAAAAGGGGTGCCGCCTTTAAAAAGTGTGGCTGTGTCTTTAGAAGTGGCAGGCCTTTCCAAACTACTTCTAAAATGGCTAATCACATGTTTGTAAAAAGCTTTATTATCATTATTTAGGTCCTGTCAGTTGACCACCCCATTCAGTGCAGCAGTATTATTTTTATTTATTTATTTACAGTATTGATATTTCACTCTTCTCAGCCTGAAGGGGACCCAGGATGTATCACAAAGTACACATACACAGCAAACATTCAGTACTATTTTTAGATATATAAGACAGACAGAGGTATTTTGACATTTTCCAAATTTGGCGCCTGGAGGTTATGCTCGATTCCAGCCACAGGGGGGTGTTGTCGCTCTATTTGCTATGACAATGAGCCCTTTTGATCACAGAAATTTCCCTCCTTTGTTCTTTGATTGCCGGCATTTTTATGATGTCATAAAATACCTCCCCACCAAACAGTGCCTAATTTCTCTACTCACTGCTCAGTTGTTTCCGAACTACTTAGGTGGACAGTGAGTTGGGATAATGGTCAGGCGCTCAATCCAACTTGGGCTTCGAACCTGCCACCTTCCGGTTGGCAGTGATCTATTGCCACTGGCGATTAACCAGCTGTGCTACAACCCGACCCAATAGATGATGGTAAAAAAAAAATCATGAAGGAGAATGTTGTGATCTCCAAGGCAGAGGCAAGGGGCAGAGGGGAATCCCCCTCACCCCAATTTAGGAGGGGGATTCTGTCCTCCTTTCCCCCTTTTGTTGCACCCCTACCCAGGAGCATCCATACTCCTCATTACAGATGAAGAAGATAGCCCGCAGGCAGCAGCAACAGCAGCAGCAGCAGCAAGAACAAGAACAGTTAGGAAACCCCCGCTTGGGCAGTGGAAGAGGGAACGGCCGGAGCAGCAGGCAGAGCAACGAGGACAGCGAAGGTAAGGACCCCTGGGCACAACTCAGCAGCAGCACAGTGGAGCAATTCGGCCATTTTTAGACAAGGTATTCGCTCAAGAAGCAAGAGATTTCTGTTGTCATTGCACATTGATATTCCTCTAATACATTTAATGCACTTCTTTTGAGATTGACCATGGGAATCTAATCATGGGCGTCCTCTTTTAAGGCTTTCCATGGCTGAGCAGAATATGTTTTACCCCTTCTTTGTTTCTGCTCTCCAATTGCACAACAGATGGTGCCAGCGTGCATGGGATAGATGGGCTCATGGTGCCGTACTCCAGGATTGCCCAACAGCAATTACTGCCCTTGGACCAGAACAGCTATAGCACAGACTTGTATCGGCAAGGACTCACACCACCCCAGTTGCCCGGTGACCATCTTCACCCCTATGGTGAGCCAACTTCCTCCAAACCTCATTGTCTATAAACACTCCCATTCTGTTTCCCTTCTCAAATGATCATGAGCTAAATAACCCTCTTTGGATGTGTCCGTAAAATAGATGTGAGGTGCACAATACATGAACTATATACTGCAAGTGATCCCCTTTTGTCCTTGTGTTTCCTTCCACATATGCCACTATGTGATGGGACAGTTGTAAAACCAACCCCATAACTATTGCATATCTTCCAATTGCCTAAAGTAGCCACAATCCCAGTGAATAATACTCTAACAACTAACTTTTTTGAGATGCTTTTAAAATGTATGTCCCCTACTTTCACTTCTCCCTCTTCATCTTTTGTTATTGTTTTCTTCATGTTGTCTCTGACTTACGGTGACCTTATTGGTAAGATATCCACCAACTTTAGCCAGTGTTCCTAATGGTGGGGAATATTCGGGTTTGCAGTCCAAGAGCCTCTGGAGAGCCACATGACTCTCCCTTCAGCCCTAGATGGAGGTGGAAAGGGACTTCCTTTGACTTAAATACTCTGGCCCATCTTGCAACTTTCATTTCTTTCTTTTCTCTGTGTGTCACTCTCTTTCATTCTCTCCTTCCTACCTTTAGATTCAGAAGGTGTCTTCCACGACATGGACAGCGACACCATTGGTCACTTGGGGGATTGCCTGTTGTCAGCTGCAGAAGCCAACCTCCTGCAAACTCGAGTGGGAAACCCCATTGACCGGCTCTACTCCATGCAGAGCTCCTATTTCACCTCCTGACCATGGGGACATTTCTTGGCTCTCCCGTCTGATGTATGCCTCACTTAGAAGGAAGGGAAGTGGCATGGAGGAGCAAGACCTGAATATATATCTGTTTGGAAGAACTCTTTGGACCCTTCAAAGCCAATAAGAAGTATGAGGCTGTCACACAGGCATTTGAGTGCTACTTCCTGGTATCGACCATAGAGTCTCAGAGGACTCCGCTACACTGCCTCTCTCCTCCCTTCCCCAACATGATATACATGGACAATTTCTCATTGTATAGTTGTACTTCTCCGTATGTTTTTTGTGTTTGAACTGTAGGGCATTAAGGTCAGGTTGACTCATTAGCAGCACCGAAAGAAGAAGGGAGGTCTTACTTTTCTTAAGGATGAAATTTCCAAGGCTCTTGTACTGCTTTTCATGTTATTGCTCCATCTGGTTGTTCCTTGACAAATTTCTCCAACAGTCGTGAAATAGATGTTTACTTTCCACGAACTGCAAACTAGGAAGTAAAAATAGTAAAGGTAAAGATTTTCTCCTGACATTAAGTCCAGTCGTGTCCGACTCTGAGGGTTGTTGCTCATCTCCATTTCTAAGCTGAAGAGCCGGTGTTGTCTGTAGACACCTCCAAAGTCATGTGGCCAGCATGACTGCATGGAGCACCGTTACCTTTCCACCGGGGTGGTAGCTATTGATCTACTCACATTTGCATGTTTTCTAACTGCTAGGTTGGAAGCAGCTGGGGCTAACAGCGGGAGCTCACCCACTCCCCGGATTTGAACCTGCGACCTTTCGGTCAGCATTCAGCAGCTCAGTGTTTTAACCCACTGTGCCAACAGGGGCTCCACAAGGTGAAAATAGATTTCACATTAAAGAAGGAAATTGCCTATGAAATAGGATTGCCAGATTGAAAACAAGAGACTGCTGCTGTCACTTTAATAGTTGTGTATTAGAGAGAATTCCAGCAATCAAGAAGCTGTACCTGCTGAAATTCTTTCTTTATAGCCATTAAAGGTACAGGAGTCATCTCCAGTTTTGACACTGGTTTCCCTATAATAAAGAGGCATCTTAGAGAGACTTCTGCATTTAAAAAACTAATAGTTTTGTGTCATTTTAACTGCCCATCCCTAATTCTGGGAAAGATGTCAAGAATTCTGTCCAAAGGTCTTCTTGACAAGATTTATTCTGAGGTTTTCCAGTGCGATACTGTAGAGCAGGCATGGGAAAACTTGGGCCCTCCAGGTGTTTTGGACTTCAACTCCCACAATTCCTAATAGCCAGTAAGCTGTTAGGAATTGTGGGAGTTGAAGTCCAAAACACCTGGAGGGCCCAAGTTTGCCCATGCCTGGTGTAGAGAGAGGATTACTTGCTCAAAACATTCAATGGATTTCTGTGGCTGGGCAAGAATTTAAGCCTTGGTTTCTTGGAGTCCTCGTTGAAAGCTCAAATTACTACTCAATACTTGCTCTCATCTCCTTTCTAACATGTCCTAAATATTTTGCATTGGCCATTTATCACTAGCTGGAGAATTCATCTGGAATGGCTTCTCTTGTGAGATCATTTCACCAGCCAAGTCAGCACAGCACAGCAGCTTGAGAACAGCATGCCATCGGGACTATTTTGTCAAAAGCTCTTCCCCCAAAATTTGCCCACCTGTGGTCCATTCATATCAACTTATATCACACTGCAAAATCATGAAGCAGGATGGAACCCTTTTCTCTATTGATATACTATATGGTGTCAGGGCAAAACAAATACATGGAATATGCCTGGTGGATATAACTTTTTATACACCGTGTAATGAGGGTGGTGTAGAAATGCCCTGCCTAATACAGATATACCTTAGTCTATGTGTTCATGAGCATGACTTTTTTAACAGAAAATTTGGCTCATGAGGGAGAAATAACATGGAAAGAATAGACATATGTTCCAATACTCCAAAAATGAAGACAGGTTTATCATGATTTTTTCCAAATGCATCCAGAAACATTTGTCTTTTAGCAGACTCTGCTTTCCTTATGACATCTTGGAGGTAGATGTTGAGGCTGATGTACCTACTCTCCCCTTTTGACTCTGCTCTGCTGATCACACTTGCTCAGTATGGGATTCTGGAGGCAGCTCCAGTTTAACATTCATATTGTATGTAGGTGGGTACACATTCAGACTAGCAAAAGCAGAATCTTACTCTTTCTCGGCTCAGGCATTACTGCATTGTCTATAGTATACTGCAACCTGACACTGAAGGTTCATATCTCTCCAGCCCTACTTCAACATCCTCGCACTGTCACTAATGAAACACCCAGCCTCATTAAAAAGCGGGGGCTTTGTTGACTAAGATATATCTATGTTAGACTTCTCCATTCCAGGTTGGCTTTTAAGGACATCAGTCTTCTCAAAGACAACTTCATGTATATAGTCTGTATTAAGCTATAAACTGTTTCCAAAGGAGAAAGTCAATCTATATGGGTGGGTGGATATCAGAGGAGGCCATGTTTTTCTCTATAGGTCATAGAATTAGAAGAGACCACATGGACCATTCAGTCCTGCAGGAAAAGCACAATCAAAGCACTCCAATAGATGGCTCCCCAGCCTCTTTTTAAAACAGTGGTTCCCAACCTATGGTTCTTGGCCCACCAGTGGTCCACAAGAATGAAAATATGGTCCGTGGTCTCACCATTCCTGCACTGTTGCCTCAAAACCACATGATCAACGCAAGCGACTGGTCTCATGAAACCTTATAGTGCTGAGGCAACAGGGATATTGGGAGGGGAGAGGCTGACTTCCCATAAATATTACTACTACCAGCTCTAGATTATTAAATATGGTTTTCTATGGGCAAGCAGATGGCGATTACTGGATGGCATATGTTCTGTATCAGAAACTAGAGCTGATGTGGTCTATCCAATGCAGTTTTCTGAATCAGCACCCAAATAACCAAACTGAATCTAAAGTTGACCAAAACCTTATTCGTAAACCTTTTGGTACTAATGTTGGAGAGTGGTCCCTGGTCAAAGTGATTCCTGGACAAAAAAAGGTTTGGAACCACTGGTTTAAAATCTTCCAGGGAAGGAGCTTACACCGCATTCCAAGGCAGAGAGTTCCTCTACTGAACAGCTCTTACAGTCAGGAAGTTCTTCCTAATGTTCAGGTGGGATCTCCTTTCATGTAATATGAAACCAAATTACAGAAGAGTTCTCTTCTTAAAAGGGGAAAATTCCTGCTTCAAGTCATCTGCAGTGGCACAGTAGTACATTCTGAAGTACAGGCCTTCATTGTGAGCATCCCGTTTCACTGAGCCAAGGAGAATCAAAATGTGCAGGCAGCCATACTGTTTTGACCTCTACCAGCCTATCATTGGTTCTCACTTGCCCAATCAAGGACAAGCCACCAACATCCTCAACTTACTATATGGTACAAAACCCTGTACCAGTGGACAAAATATGTAATCTCTACAAATGTTCTAGTTCCTCCAGCAAAATTCTGTGGTATGCTTTAAACAAACGTTTCCACAGACTTATGCTGGAGGACCTAGCAAATTCCTAAATAGGATAACTCTCTAGGAATTTTTTAGGTCCTCCAGCATGAATTAATGATAACCTCTGGCAGAAATTGCTCTTTCAGAAGGATTTTCTATTATCTGTATTGTTTCCATTGTAAGTTCAGGAATGTATCCTATGTGGATACATAGGTCATACTATATTACAATTAAGATTTGCTAAGTCAAGACTATTTCAGGACCAAAATCTGTGACCGAGGGGATGACCCTTTGCTATGCCCCAACAGGTAATGTGATGGGGGCAACTCCTGATGATGTTATCAAACATGACAGATGAAATATCAATCACAATTACACAAGATGTGCTATTGAATTTTTTAAAATTGGCTGTAATTCACAACTGTACTTCCTAGAGTTATGTATTCTTTGCTGATTGTCAACCATGCCCAAGTATTCAATAATGTAGGGACTATGTAGGGATTGTAAAAGTCTCTGTGTCGTGATTTACTGAGCATCAGCCACTGTGAGTGCAGCCTGTTCTCCTGTCGATCCAGACACAGCAGATTGATATTGCCATCCTTCTTCCATCAGTGATCTCCAGCACAAGAAACAATTGCAACAAGATAGTGTTTGCTGGTCCTATTGGAGTAGAAATGTCAGTCTGCTCCATCCTGATTGACAGGAAAACAGACACTGTTGTTTATAGCAGCCACTGGCACTAAGTCTGTATTGTGAGGAGCTGGCTAGGACACACTCCTCAGCTACACAGCTAAGATAGTTATGTATTAGTTATGTAGCACATCTAGAATATTGGCCACAGAGTCAAATTAATAATTGTAATGTTTTTCAAGGCTGTGCTCTCCCTAAGATTCCTCTACCTCAACCTGAGGACTAGGGAAAGTAGCCAGGTCAGAGATCTTGAAACTCTAATTACAACAGGGATACTTCTCAACAATATTATTGCTGGGATAATGCATTGCTCTCTCCCCTACTCATCATGGCAATTGTAGCTAATGCTAGAGGGGGCAGGGAAGGGGAGGAGTAGCACATGAAAAAAAATTCTGGTTCTTTGGTTTTGTAGTATCTCTAGCTCCAACAAAATAATGGTTCCTAGTCCTAGCATGAATACCTTTTGATTGGGGGCAGGAAAGGATAATTAGTTGTGTGCTGTTGTGTGCTTTCAAGTCGTTTCCAACTTATAGCAACCCTAAAGTGAACCTATTACCTTACGGTTGCTATCTTTCTTGGCAAGACTGGTTTAGAAAAGATTTGTCATTACCTTCTTCTGAGGCTGAGAGAGTATGATTTGTCCAAGGTCACCTAGTAGATTTCCACATCCACATGGAAGCAGGATGGAAGACTGATAAGCTGGTAGATATCATGTGGTGGAGAGAAGCACAGCTTTAACCTCCTATGCACTCATTTCAAGTAAGATGTTAGTTGTGTGCCCCTCTCCATGTTCCTGGACTGCAATTTCCAACAGCTCTATCCAGTATAACCAATGATAAGAGATGATGGGGCTGGTAATTCAATATTTGGAGGGCTACACAATTCCCACCT